TTCTATTCTATTCTATTCTATTCTATTCTATTCTATTCTATTCTATTCCTCTATTAAGCAATGCTTGGCTTTACCCGGTTGATGGGAATGGACAAGGCTGGCTGCGCGTCGGCCTCTCTCTCTTCAGGGGCAGAGAAGCCGAGCAGCTGCCCCCCTCTCAGCACACAGTATCGCTTCCTCCAGGTCTCCCCCTGGACACCCCCCGATGGCTGTAAGTAAGAAAGGTTGTCGGTCACAGATCACTCCAAAGATGATTTCACTCTCAGGCAAAGTGCAAGTTCCTTATCAGGAAAAGAACATTCTCCACGGATGTCCTTGGCAATGACCGATGACAATATTGTATTAAGGGTGAAAGTGAGTGGCCTCTGGCACTCCCACCCACCCACCCACCCAGAGTCCCACTGAAACCGCTGCTTGACCCTCTGACTTCATCCGGTCTCTTTGCCTTAATCGGGTGTTAGCAACCCGCGGCTCTCGAGCCGCATGCGGCTCTTTAGGCCCTCTGCTGTGGCTCCCTGTCAGTTGATCCCAGCACTGGCTGGTTCTGCCCCTCGCCCTCGCTTCCCAGTCAGTTCTCGAGTTTTACCTCAGGAGGTAAAATACAAAAAACAGAAATGAGAGGGAGGGCGGGAAGGTGGGGGGAGAGAGAGAGAGACCCATTTTCCACAAGAAATACTGGAAGTCACAAAACCTGGGTAGGCATGGTGGGGGTGTGTGTCATGTGACTGGGTGGGAGTGACATTGAGTTGGCCACGCCCACTTATGTTTTGAGGCTCCCGGTGTTTTCTTTTCTGTGGGAAACGAGTCCAAGTGGCTCTTTGAGTGTTTAAGACTGCCGACCCTTGACCTAAATTCACAGGGCGCCTGGACAGCCCCCCCCAGCACCCACAAATGACCCAATATCATCCATACAAAACCTTTTGTCAGAGTGTTTGCAGCGTGACTACTATTGCGAGACAACCTAGGGGCACAGCATAGCACATAGAGGCTTTGTCTTTTAACAGTGGTTTATATGCAAGACTGCTATATACATAGGTGTTGGGCCACATACCAGGCAAGCAATCAGTCTTCATTGCTCTGCACGGAGAACTACAACGCAGATATAACACAAGGAGAAAGAGAGAGAGATACACCCTCTCATGGCCTCCTTTATATAGACAGCTTCTTAAAGTGGCAATAACTCTGCTGACCCAGCCTCAGTCTTAAAGCGGCAATACCTTGCTGACTCATTCTCATTGCATCAGCGTTTACAGCGGCCTTATAACAGCTGGTCAGCTATTAAATCTCAATACTTTTAACACCTTTCACTAAAAGGACTGGGTGACCTGGCCACAAATCATGGACAAGAGTGGTGGCCTCCCGGGCCTTTCCTGGAGTGCCCCCCTTGGAGCAAAACCAGCAGCGATAAAGTTAAGATATTATCAAAGGAGACACAAACTGAAGAAATCCTCCCCTTGAGGAGCCCTTAAAATGTGTATTAGCTGGAGCTTGGTTTTTGGGGGGTATTCCCAGTGGGAAGAAGGGACTCCCTCCCAGATGGATGTGGGCTCTCCTTCTGGGGGAAGGTCTTCTGGCTGGACCCACCACCCTCCTTCCGGCCAGGGTAGTGAGCCGAGAAAGCAGGAAGGTTATCCCTTCCTTGAGAGGCGACCAGATCTGCTACCTCACAAGTGTCCAGCACGGAGGGAGGGAGGCAGAGAGGGAACTTCCACCCTGCTCTTGGCATCCAAGGGACAGCCAGGGTTATCAGTGCCCTGGGACAAGACGGACCCACCCTGTGGGATCCAGTTGAAGAGGGCAAAAGAACTGCCAAGGCACCCTCAAGTGTGAAGAGGCCCTGTCCAAGCATAAAGGCCCCATCGGGTGTTTTTACCTGTTCATGAAGAAATCCAGACATGGCATCCTGGGTCATGCAATCCGGCTGGGCAACCAGGCGGCAGCACATGGTGCCATACAGCGGAAGCCAAGAAGGAGAGTCCTCTGCAAAGACAACGCAGGAGAAACCGGCCTCTTAGCTCCCAAGCTCCTTGGCCAAATTCACACTGAGCAATAACTGAAAACAGGCGCGGAGCAAAAAGTCACACCCCGATTGATAACATTCATTCCACGGTGAGATCTTTTAGACTGGAAGATCTGCCGGGGCAGAAATTGCACAGGTGCAGGATAGCTCAATGGTGGCTAACCTTCTGGGGATCCTGTGCCGAGAATTGCGCACGCACTTGTGTGCACGTGCCAGCACCCAGAAGGCAATGCATGCAGGGGCCCGATGCCCCCTGTGCATGTCTTCTGTGCACCCCAGATAACTGACAATCAGGGAGGGCGATGCATGCGCAGGCACAGTAGGGCTCCTCTGGGTGACCTCTTGCATGCTGGCAGAAGTGGCTCTGCGTGCTACTTCCAGCACGCTTGCCATATAGGTTTGCCATCACGGGTATAGGTGGTACCTGGCTCAATAGTAGTAATTGAAAGAGGGATCTTGGAGTCCTGGTGGACAATCGCTTAAATCTAAGCCAGCCGTGTGCAGCAGCTACCAAAAAAGCCAACACAGTTCTAGGCTGCATAAACAGAAGGTTAGGGTTTTTAATTATAATGCCTTAGGAAGGCCACACTTGGAATATGGCCAGAGGTGGTATTCAGCAGTTTCTGACCAGGGGTGGGATTCAAATATTTAACAACCGGTTCTGTGGGCATGGCTTGGTGGTCATGTGATTGGCTGGGTGTGGCCAACTCAATATCACTCACATCGAGGCATGCATCTCTTCGCCTGGCCTCTCATGACTGTGGGGATGTTGCAACAGTCGTAAGAGTGAAAAACGGTCATAAGTCACTTTTTTCAGTGCCACTGTAACTTTGAATGGTCACTCCACACAAGCAAAGTACCAACAAAGGAGGGGAACAAAGACTCCAGAGATGTTCCTGAGACAGGTAGTCTAGGCCTGCCAAGAATGTAATAAGCATTAACGGAGAGACGGTTTCTGTAAGCGACACCAGAATGTTTCCTTCCTGCCTTCCTTACAGGATTAGACCAGTAATTTCTTCTAACAAGTGGTTTTCCGAAAGGCTTAGAATGTTAACAACTGGTTCTAGCAAATAGGTGCAAACTGGTAGAATCCCACCCCTGGTTCTGACCGGTTCTGGAAAATCAGTAGCGGAAGTTTTGAGTAGTTTGGAAAACCAGCAAATCCCACCTCTGACTGGAGATTTTACAGTATCCTTCCCCGGCCACGCCCACCAAGCCACGCCTACAGAACTGGTCGTAAAAAAATTTGAATCCCACCACTGAATACGGCGTCCAGTTTTGGTCACCATGATATAAAAAAAGATGTTGAGACTCTAGAAAGAGTGCAGAGAAGAGCAACAAAGACGATTAGGGGACTGGAGGCTAAAACATATGAAGAACGGTTGCTGGAACTGGGTATGTCTAGTTTGATGAAAAGAAGGACTAGGGGAGACATGATAGCAGTGTTCCAATATCTCAGGGGCTGCCCCAAAGAAGAGGGAGTCAAGCTCTTCTCCAAAGCACCTGAAGGCAGGGTAAGAAACAAAGGGTGGAAACTAATCAAGGGGAGAAGCAACTTAGAACTAAGAAGAAATTTCCTGACAGTTAGAATAATTAATCAGTGGAATAATTTGCCTCCAGAAGTCGTAAATGCTCCAACACTGAAAGTTTTTAAGAAGAGGTTGGATAACCATTTGTCTGAAGCGGTGTAGGGTTTCCTGCCTAGGCAGGGGGTTGGAATAGAAGACCTCCAAGGCTCCTTCCAACTTTTGTTATTCTATTCTAAATTCAACGGCCATGCTGACATATCTCCCAGAGACCCGCAGAGAACAGACTGAAGCGTCAGTCTGATACTTCAGGGAAACAGAGAATGAGGTGACCCGGGACAAGGGCTCTTCCAGGCGGCCCCAAGAGAAACCTCTGAAGGAAGGTTGTCTGTCCCCTTGCTTCTTCCCTCCCTCCAAACGGAGATTCGTTTCCTGAACTCAAGACAAGAAGACAATTCCACCTGAATGGGTTGGGGTGACGGAAGGCGCAGCACGCGCGCGCGCACACACACACACAAAGCAAAGCAAAGCTTCTCCAAAGCCAACTTGGAAGGATTTGGAAGGATTCGACACGTTGAACCTAACTTACCGTTTCCCAGGAGTGTCAGGCTGTGGGCGTTGAAGCCATCCTTGGTGTTCTCCAAGCTCAGGGAGGCTGAGGCCAGCAAGCTGTATTCCACTCCCCTGGTTAAGAGAGAGGAAACACTCACAGACAGATCCAATGGCCGTCTTGGTATATTTGGCCTTTGCTATTGTGTTTCCCTGAAAACAAGACCCTGTCTTGTATTTTGTTTTCCACCCAAAAAAAAGGCACCAGGTCTTATTTTAGGGGGAAGTCATCCACTGACTAACCTTACTTGGGCGTGTCGCCCCTGGCCTCCTTTTCGCTGTCAGGGGCCTTCAGAAGCTTCTTCTCCTGCAGCCGGCAAGGCTTTCCTGAAGGCCTCTAGAGCCGATAACAAGAGCTCTGGATCGATCTAAAGCTTTGTTATCAGCTCCAGAGGCCTTCAGGAAAGCCTTGAAGGCTACAGAAGAAATGGGCTGGCAGGGAAGGTGTCAGGATGATCAAGGCCTAGCTACAACTGTCCAAAGGTAAGTAGTAGGGCAGCTCCACCTCCCCAATCTCACCCTAGCGCAAGGGTGGGCAAACTTTTTGGCTCGGGGGCCTCATTGACTTTTAAAATTTGACAGACGGGCCGCCACCTGGTGTCGAAATGCCTATCATTACAAGTCAAAATCAAATGAATGCAATCATTCAATCATTCATATCAAACCTTAATTCTGTACCAATCTTTGGCGGGCCGGATTAAAAAAACCAACGGGCCGGATGTGGCCCGCGGGCCATAGTTTGGCCACCCCTGCCCTAGCTTAATTTTTACCCATCTACTCTGGAGTGGGCAGGACCTTAATTAGGGCTTATTTGGGGGGTAGGGCTTATATTGGGCACACATGTAAAAATCAAGGTAGGATTTATTTTCCCTCCAGGGGCTGCTGGACTTCAGGGCCTACCCCAACGGAAGAGCTCTCTGTGCCCCACAAGACACAGAGCCAGCCCCCCATGGAAAGCCCAGGTAAAGCTGTCCTCTGGCAGGGCCTTTCCTACCAAGTGAACCACCCTACGCCGAAGAGGGCAGGGGAAGCAGGCCAGTGACTGAAGGGCTAAACGCAGCTAACCCTTCCAAGCACGCCCATCGGAAAGGCAGGGGAAACGAGGCTGGGGTTCCATCATAACTTCTCCGTTGTGCCCAAACGTGGCTTTTCTCTGCGTGCTCCTGTGAGCATCCCGTGAGAGCTGACAAGATCAGGCGTGTCAGCGAACGCAGCCGTGTTGTGGCCGGGGGTGGGTCTGCTACCGGTTCATACCGGTTCCAGCGAACTGGGTGTTAATTTTACATCTGGTTTGCCGAACTGGTAGGTGCAATGACTGTCTCCACGCAGCCTCATTTGGGTCCCAGGTAAGCGGAGGGCCCACACAGAGGTTCGAGGAGGGTGAAAAACGGGCCTCCTGGAACTTGGGAAAGGCTAAGAATGGCCCAGTTCCCAGCCTGCAGAAAGCCTCAGGACCTCAGGGAGGAAAGCCTCCGGAGCCCGGGGAGGGTGAAATGCCCCCGCCCACCACGGTGCAGGAGACAGACTAGGCCATGCCCACCATGGCCACACCCACCCAGCAACTGGGCCAGAGATCCAGTTGCTAAATTTTTTCAAGCCCACCCCTGGTTGTGGCCCCTCACCACCCTGGAGGACACCCCTGCCCACCTCGCCGAGAAGTATGGCTTGTGCCATAAATAAAAAACTTTCCTGGGAGAAGTTAGACCCCTCTCCCCGCAAATGAATGAAGCAGATGCGATAATAAAGCAGTTGGTTTTCTGCATTAACCAGTCCAGGAACACTCACCACCTCCGAGCCCCCC